TATATCCAAGACAAATGAAACTGTATGTAAGGACAAAAACTTGTACGCAAATGTTCATAGCAACAAAACATGGAAAGTATATAAATATCTACTGATTTATGAATAGATAAGTAGAGTGTGGTATATCCACATTATGGAATATTATTTCCACTGTAAAAAAAGGAATAAAAAATTTAAAAAGGAATAAAATGAAAAGGAATGAAGCACTGATACATGCTACAACATGGATGAACCTTGGAAACATTATGCCCAGTGAAAAAAGCCGCTCACAAAGAACACATATTGTGTGATTCTATTTGTAGAAAATGTCCAGAACAGATAAACCACAGTCAGAAAGTAGATTCGTTTTTGCCTGGGGCTAGGAGATTTGGGAGGAGTGGGTTGAGGAGTGACTGCTCATCAGTACACAGTCTATCTTTATGGGTACTAAGGTATTTTGAAGTTGGCTGTGGTGATGGTTACAAAGCTCTCAGTACACTAAAAAACCATTGAATTGTACATTTTAAATGGATAAATTGGACGATATATGAATTATATCACAATCGAGCTATTAAGAAACAATTTCAATCTTGAACAATTCATGCTTACACTCTTTAAAGGATTATTGTTCTTTAATATCTCCCACAGTGCTCAAGATACACCGCTAAGTGGTCAATAAATGCAAGTCAACAGAGTAGAGACTTTAGTCAAATTAGACTGATTGAATGCTTTCAGATTTCTCCAGTAGACACAGGCTTAGACCATCCCACAGGAGTTTGATCTGATGAAGAACAGAACCCTTTTCTGGGTTAGATGAGAAAGGGAAGCACCCCAAACAATAAGACAACTGAGCTACAAGCTGACTCACTCCTATCTGCATGGCTGATAAGGACCAGCTGATGCAATGAGGCCTTCCTCACCACAAAGTCACAATATTTATCTTAACACCAGTGAATATTGAGTGTGTGTATATCTCTATATACTGATAAAACATTGCTCTAATATGTACACGGGGTCTGAACAAGATCAATTCATCAGGGTAATCATGCAAGCCTATGTCTGAGAGAGGTTGTTTATATAGTGGGTTGATAGAGCACTATGATATAAGCCACAGAGAAGCCCTGTCCAATGCTCATAATGCATGATACATATTTCACAATATGAGCATTGTATAAATAATTAACAGCATGGGCTTGAGAAGGCATTGATATGAATCAGAGAGATTACACGCAAGAAGATCTGCTCAAATGCTCTGCTCTTACTGGGTAGGACAGAAATGCACCACTTGGCCGAAAATATCACACATTTTAGGGACATTCTTCACCAAGCAATGTCTCGTGTGATGACTGATTTCCCTACTCAATGACTGCTATTACTGCAGATACAATTTTGAAGTATTTTACTTGTATGTAAAAAAAAGTGTCTCCTGTCTATTTGTGTGCAAGTCCACATGGAAGGAAATTGCCCTGTAAAATAGCATAACAAAATGCCACTGTTTGAACTGCTGGATGCCAGGATTTTTCTCAGAAATGTCCTATTTAGGAATAGAGTAATTGGCAAGATATTGACTAATCTATACGTAATTTATCTTTCAACCATGACTCAGTGCTTCCCCAAGCACCCTTGATGTCTACCTAGTGAAGAGCACTGTGCTGATATTTAGCTCACGTCCCCAAGGAACTCTTCCTTTCCCTAATACATATGTATTAATTCCCATTAACCTCATTTAGAGGAAGGAGCAATGTGGGTATGAAGAGGCCAGATGGCAGTGAGTGTCTGTTACCGTATATGAGTAACTCTTCCCATTATCATTCAGCCTTTATTTACTCAATGAATTCACATTGTGAGTAACTCAGTTTTGAGGGCAGGTTCTTTTTCCTGCAGGGGTACTGGCAGTGACTTGAACTCCCTCATACTCTTTTCGAGAGCTGGAAGTTAACAATTGCTGTAAAAGATACTGTAAAAAAGTAACTCTGCAAATGAATGCAGGCATTTGCAGGCGGAAGGTGCATGGGATAAGCATTTGTGAAAGTGTGGTAGCTATTGGGTTTCCCTCCCAGAGAGACTAGGCCCATGAATCATGTCTGCTCCCTGTCAGTCGACACCCTAGACACTGGGCATTCCCCTGTCCCACCCACACCTACTTAGACCTTAGTGGAAACCACACAGGTATTTATAAATCTCTCTCTGAGGCCCTGTGATTCACTGGTGAAATGAACCCACTTGTCTCCTCAAGTCTCAACCTCTGAGGAGTGATGAAGAGGAGTCAGCTGATGGTCAACGCCGAGGCTGACCCAGAGTGTTACAGGGCCTGCTGACCTCACCCCCTGAATTTCTTTAGGTACTCAAGAACCACAGTTTGAAGACACTAGCATTTATAGTGGCAATATAGGTCTTCTGTTTGAGACAGTATCAGAAGGGCTCTGTCCAAAATTTGAAAGAGCGTCCATTCTCTGAGTGGTTTGTTCATCAGTAAAATCACTGTGTTCTGCTTCTGTGAAAAGCGTTATCTTAGCCCTGTGAAAAGGGGGAAAAAGCCTTAGTTTTCATTGAAACAATGTGGCAAAAAAACTTTAAAGTATATTTTTAAACAGTGGTAAGAAGTCAAGAAGAAGGGAGCAGTCATTGGGTCAACGGTGCTGGCAGCTGGAAAGGATGAGGGTGGAAAAGCATGAAGGTCGTGTGAGTGATTTCTCCAACCCATTAGGTGAGAGAATGAGGGCGAAGCCCTGAGCAGTGGCTTGATGGGTCCGTCTCGGGTTGGGGGTTTTCCAAGCCAGGACAATGGAGAAAGAGAAGGAAAAGAGATTTGAAGGTGAGCGTGTTCACAGAATGGATAAGTTCATAGGGTGATTTGTAAGGTCCACACTTTGTATCAAGCTTCTCTTTTATCTTCCAACATGATGAACCTTCAATCATTTCTACAATAACTTTTAGACCCCCCCCCAAACTATAAATCCATATATATGTGTGTGTGTTGGGTTTATAACTACATGTTCAAAGGCCCACAATATATTCCAGATTTTAAAACTAAACAAAGGCACTTGAAGAAGTCAAGCCAGAATCACTGTATTTGCATAAAGAGTCCCCACTTGCTTGATGAATTATCATAAATTATTCAACAGCTTTTATCTATGTGTTTGTTCTCCAGTTAACAAGAGTGTAGTGTCTCAGCTATTTAACCAATCTTAGACAATTTCGATGACAATATAATGTTACTTTTCCATTGCTTTGGATAGTTAAAGTAAGATTTGAAATGACTTTAATACATTTTTTTAGTTACTTTGTAGTCTTGGCGGTTCCTATAGGGCAAAATGTTACAAAGAGAATCCTGGTATAACGCACAGGCTTATAGAATCTCACTCTTAGAACCAACTCGGAAATCCAGTTAGTGTCCCTCCTGGTGCAGGAACAGTCCATGCAGGATCCCCGACCCACAGTCCCCAGGTTCTTCCAGCCAGTTCTAGCAACTACTGTAGGGGCCCTACTCCATCTTTTAGCTGCTCTGCTGACAATGCCCAGGGAGGAGACAAGCCTCCAGGATGAAGAATAGTAGTATCCCTAAACCTAGTGTCTCTATGACAGGTCACTTCAGGAAGCAACTGCATCTAAATTATTAACTAAAGTTGTCACATCATTTTCTCTGCTCTCAGCTGCCCTCTAAAAATTTTCTTCATCTGAAGCTTATTCCAGAAAGAAAGAGAATGCAGGAGGAGCTTTCTTGCTGACTCTATCAGACCATGGATAGGATGTGTGCTCTGGGGGCTGATGTCGACAGGGACACCAGATTCTCCCTCGTTTGTTCTTTATCTTTACTTACTGCACGTTTTGCTGCCGTGGACTTTTTTATTATTCTAAATTGTGGGTGAGATAATAGTTGGTTTCTCAAAGTGCAAAGGCTAAACCTACTGATAAACTTCAGCTGCTACCAGGGGACAAACGCCACCCAAACTGCCAAAACAATCATGACCTCACTTCCTGCATGGCGCACTGAAGGCTTCACCAGAAACTCAGAAAACCCAGCAGGCGAGGCTCTGGCATGAGCCAAAGGCGGAGATCAATGAGTCATCTAAGCAGGGCTTTGGCCAGGCCAGTGCTTTAAAAGAAAGCAATACATGGAAAGAGTTCTTTTGCTCCATTGCCCCTATCACCACTTCTACCCCGGAGACTATGCTATCATCAAGCCTTTGCTCGTACCAGTAAAATTCACTTGTGGGCTTTTTAAAAAGCCAGGGCCAAACACTGAACAACTGAGACAGTTATTAACCTCCCCAGCTAACAGGTTTTTCAGGTGTGATGTGAAAACCTCCATTTGCAGTGTAGCTTGGCCAGAAAAGCATACATTTAATTTGCAATATTGATTAGAATTTTCTAAGGTGAATGTTGAAGGCTTCCTGAAAACATAGGCTTGGGAGCTTTTGAAGGTCTTGAAAGGAACAGTAACATCTGTGTGGTTCTTGCAGTTCAGATGGCCCCAAGAAGATGAAACGGAGTTGCAGTGCCCAGTGGGGCCGTTACATGGCTTTGGGGAAGGGAAACCGAGTTTGAATGTCTACCATGTACTAAGCCCAAGGTGGTCTTAAAGATACAAATACATATGATCTTGACCACTGTATCCTGTCATTCCAAAGGGTGCAGAAAGGGCTAAGTCTGAGGAATGCACAGGTGCTAAGGAAGCCCAGAAGAGGGCACTGAGTCAACCCTGTATCTGGAAAAGACAGTCAGTAAGGGCTTCTCATGTCAGGTACTATAAGGGAGGCTTAGAGGACCAGTAGGGATTACTGAATCAGGCTATGTTGAGGCCGAATGAAAGGCAAATAGGAATTGAAGTTAGAAGGCCTATGTTTGAGACTTGATTCTCCTAATTACCTATGTAACCTTAAGAGAGAAAAGAAATTCAAGTTTCTAAAACTTATTTTAGTTACATACTCATATAAGATGGAGATAATAATATCCGTTTTATATTGTTGTTAAAAGGATAGACTAGATCATTTACCCTTTTATTTCTGTTTCTGTTTCAGACAGAGGGAGTAGTATGTGAAGAGTAATGGGGACCAAAGAGACTGTGAGAAGCTTTAGAACTGAAAGTGTCATAATCCCTCTACATAATCCCTCTACAACAGAAAACAATTCTGTTTTCCTTCTTGTTTTACCCAGAATAAGGAGACAAAGAGAGACAAGGCCATGGCGAAAGCAGAGGCTGCAGAAGTAAGTAGGAATCACCATCCATGGGGTTTGGCTGGTTTGGAAAAAGAGTAAGACAGGACAGAGTTTACACACGCGGAGAAAAAAGATAGGCTGAAGTCCTGGTGGTCTTACTGAGGCAGAAGAATGTGTGGCGTGAGTAGCTACAGTGAGGGTGCTGACAGGACACAGGAAGGGTACATTCCCTGTTCAAACGTGAGATTTCTTATGAGGAAAGTTCTGAGGAAGACAAGGAACAAGCACAGCCAAGAAGGCACATGGCTGACATGGAGTCCACCCAAAGGTCACCGGACAAAGAGGTCAAGAACGTGATTGGCCGAAGTGTGAGGTCAGACTGTGAGTTGGACTTGAAATTCTTCAAGAAGATGATGGATTCACAGTGCAGAAGGTATATGCCAAAGTCCTCGCGAACCTCTTTCTGAATTTGTGACATGGACGAAAGGTATCACTATCTACTCAGTTATTCAAGTTGGGAACCCTGGCTTTATCTTCAAATCCTCTCTCTCCTTCACCTCTCCATCCAGCCAAGGAGCCCACTCACAAAGGCTATTTGTACAACAGCTGCAGACCTCTAGCAGAGGGAGAAGTCTTGCAGAGTGCTGGTTATAAGGTTGTTCCATGCAACCAGGCAGACCTGGTGGAATCTTGGCCCTTCCTTTTCTAGCTGTATCAATGTGGGCAAGTGACCTACACACCATGCTTCATTTTCCTTGTGTGTAAGAGAAGATAATAATAGAGTCTGCCTCAGAATTACAGTGAATTATGAGGCCATACACACATAACGCAGTGTCTAGTACACAGTAAGTGCTCAATAAATGCTAGTTGTTGGTGTGGTAGTGTTAGTGGAGCTTTAGTATGTTATAGCAAATATGGAAAAGCCCAGAATTCTTTTTTTTTTTAATAGAAGAGAAAGAATGCCTATGTTGGGTAAAAATGGAAATGTATTGGGAATGCAGTAAAGGATACAATATAGAGAATGGTGGGGATTGAAGACTGAATAGACAGAGGGAACCTTAGAGAATTCACTGAAGGTAGAGACTGATGTTGGTCGACACAAGAAACCAGATAGGTGAGAAACAGAAAGTGGCCAGCAGTGACAGCAGGATTGAATTCTTGTACCTTCTAGAGAAGGGTTTAGGAACAGAGAGGCCTAGCAGACCACCACTACTATTCAGCTTGAGCAAGCAGAGTAGCCAGAGGGGCGGTGGCACCAAGATGGTTTTCCAGGCAGCCTCCAAGACAAGCTAAATTTGAGGAATCCTGGAAAACCTGGAACACTAAGCATTAATGTCGGCACCCAGGAAGCACGGTGGTTGCCTGTGAGGTGTATGAGCCCTGCAGACTGAGGTCCCAGGAAGCACTGCAAGCACTCTGTTGCTGTTTGACGTCCCAAATTTCAGCTCTATATCATAGATTTCCCTCATACTAACATTTCTGAAACTGGAATGTGTCTTGTTGTGATTGTTTTCCCCCAAAGGCTGTGTATTAAATCCCTAGAGCCACCACCAATGGCATCTTAGAGTCACGCAAACACAAAATATGTCATAATAGTATGAGTTAAGCGAAATGTGTTAAACTTCTTCGATAACTCTCTAGTATTTGATCTTTAAGTCACATACTCTGAGGGATGCTGGGAAAAACAAATATTCTGACCAGCCATACGCAATGCTGTTAATTACCTAGGGAATTCATGTTCAAATCAATTGGTTGGGGGATTATGCTCGGTCAGGAAATTGACTCAATGGAGGTGATAATAGCTGAGAACCCCCACTGCCTGGCCAGCTAGAGTGGATGTCTTCCTACTCCCAGCCCAGGGCTGCCTTTCCAGTAAGTCCTTCTAGATATCTGCAAGTTTAATGCACAAAAGCTTTCCCCATTCATCCTGAACCCTTGACAAATGTGCCTTTCTTACTGGGGCTTCCAAAAGAAAAGGTTAAATGAAATCTGAATGGAATACAAATAGTTCTTCCTTTCAGGGATTTTATTCTCTGAGAGCTCATGCCAGAAAACAAACTTCCTTCATGATCACCAGGGAGCCCCCATTGGTGTTTGGTGTTCTAATGGCCGGAGACATCCCCCAGGTTCCCTCTGTCAATTCATATGATGGTATATATATTTAATCAGTTTCCACCATGTTCCTGGAAAGACATTTAGCTGGCTGCCAACAGACTCCTCCTCCTGCTCCTGTACATCCATGAAGTCAGTTGGCTGAGCCCTTGATGCAGCTACAGGGGCTCAGTAATCCTCTTCCTGAATTCTCTCCCGGGCAAGCCAAGCTTCCCATCATGCATGAGCTCATTTTTCTGCCTCTCAAAACTCACCTACATGAAATCACCCTTCTCACGTATAGGCCAACTCAGCCAAATAGATATACATTTTTTAATTCACAGAGGCTAGCATCATTCAAGAGAAAGAAGACCCTGGGTAGAAATGAAATAAAACACAACGAATCATGGCTGGCTCTGTAAATGGCATTGTGGTGCAGCAGAGAGAAGCAGCCCTACAGAGAAGGAAAATCAATATTCATTAATGATTTTGAGTGTACTATTGGCCTCGGGTTAATTATTTATTTGCATGAAGGTTTAGATTTATCTCACGGATATGCCATATTATTTGAAAGGGTTTTAGTGCCTTTGACCTATGCTCAACGAATCTTCTTGACCCATATTTCATTTCACATGCAAAAGCAGTAGGCAGTATATTGGTCATTTTTCTCTAATTTATTCATTAATCCCATCAACTAATAATTAAAGAGGTTTACTATGTACTACATGCTATTCAAGGTTCTAGGAATAAAACTATGAGCAAAAGAGTCTCTACTTTTGTGGAACTTAACATTCTAACAGTGGGAGCGACAGCTAATAAAAATGAATGTGAACCCTTGACATGATGTAATGAAATGCCACCTTCCCTCTGGGCCATATCTCCCAGAAACCCACAGCCCCAGTCTAATCATGAGAAAAACACCAGACAAATTCCACTAGAGGGGCATCCTACAGATACTTGACCAGTTCTCCTCAAAACTGTCAAGGTCATCAAAAATGGAGTCTGAGAAACTGTACAGCCAAGAGAAGCCTAAGGACACATGATAGCTAAATGTAATGTGAAATCCTGGACGGGGTCCTAGAAGATAAAGGACATGAGGCAAAATCTGAGGAGATTTGCCTCTTTTTTTTTTTTTAAAGTAATCTCTACACCCAACATTGGGCTCGAAATCATAACTCCAAGATCAAGAGTCACATGCACTATCAACCAAGACAGCCAGCCACCCCAAAAACTAAAGAAATTTATATCAACTATGGACTTCATATTACCAAAAAATGAGGAAAATTAAAAGGAGGAATGTCGAAGAGCAGTAGGGTCAGGGAGGCTTCTCTGAGGAGGGAACAGTCCAAGTGTGACCCGAACAATGAGAAGGCACCCATCCACAAAGTGGGAAAGTTCATCTGAGGAATGGGAGCAAGTGAAAAAAAGGCCCTGAAGTAGGAATCAGCTGGTGTGTTCAAGAAACACATAGAGGGCTTGCATGGCCAGAACCTAGCAAGCAAATGGAGCAAGATGACATTGGAGAGGTAGACAGACCATGAATGGTCTTCTAGGTCAAGCTAAGGATGTGAAACTTGCTCAGAGTTTTTGGGAGAGTTTTAAGCAGGGAAATGGCATGATCTGATTTATCTTTGAAAAACATCCCTCCAGCTGCTGTGCTAAGAATAGAGCATATTAGTGCCAGCCAGGGGCTGGGCAGAGAAGGAAATGGGGAGTGACTGTTAATGAGGCATGGGATTTTTTTGGGGGGGGGTGATATTAATGTTCTAGTATTAGATAGTTGTGATTGGTTGCACTACACTGGTACTATACTAAAACCCACTGAATTGTATACCTTAAAATTGTTAAAATGGTAAGTTTTATGTTATGGGAATTTTATCTCAATCTTGAAAATAATAGATTATAGGAATGGGGACAAGCATGGAAGCAGGTGGCTTGGCTATGAGGCTATTGCTGTAGTACAGGAGAGGGATGATGGTGTCCTGGACTAGAATGACAGCAGTGGAGCTGAGGACAAGTGTCTGGATTCTAACATGTTTTGGAAGATTGCCGTGAGGATTACTTAAAATTTTTTTCTTTATTTTAGAGACAGAGAGAGCACACATATGCATGAGGGAGAGTGGAAGAGGGAGTAAGAGAGAGAATCCCAAGCAGGCTCCACATTCCGTGCGGAGCCCCATGTGGAGCCCGATTCCATGACCCTGGGATTACGACCTGAACTGAAACCAAGAGCCAGATACTCAACTGACTGAGCCACCGAGGCTCCCTACTGGTAGGATTACAGTTGATGTGCACAGAAGGGGGGTATTGCAAGAAATCAAGAGCAATGTTAAGACCCTAAGAGAGACTCTTTTGACTTCTAGTTTATTTTAAGACATTTTAATGTGGATTTCATACGCCATGTGTTAGTACGCTTTAACATACAAATGATAGAAAACATTAACTCAGTCTGGGTTAAATACAAGGAAATGCATTACCTAAGAATAAGACCAACGGCAGTTAAGGCTTCACGTTGGTTGGTTGGTTCAGTGGTTGAGCATGTCATCAAGGTCTCAGGTTCTTAACATCCTTCCATTATGCCACCTTCAGGCTGTCAACTTTGCTCTCACCTGGCCTATCTTCCTGGTTTTAAGATGGCAACAGTAGTTCCAGGTGTCACATACAAGCAAGACCAAGACAATGACAAGGGGATGAAATGGCATCCCTTTCTGTGTATTTTTCTTAGAAGTAAAGAACGTAGAAGATCCCAATGACTTCTCAGCATGTTACACATCTTTCTAATTTTATTTTCTTTTTGCCTCATGGAAAACAATTATGTGTTTATCCAAATGGAAACGAGCTACAGAAAAAAAGAGAGTAATTTGAGGGTGGAGGTAGAGGAAGAAAAAGATTAGAAATTTAAAAGAAGTGGCTTCGATCTGTGTGGTGTTTGCTGTGGTATTGCTCACACATATCTTCCCATGAGCAATAGTTGTCTGGGGCTAATGGTTAATGAAGAGACTCGAGTTTTTCTCTCACATCATCTGAGATTCAGCATGGGAAATGGAACTATCATGGTTAGCTTTAACTACCCAGGATCCATCCTCTATAGCTGGGGATAAGGCTCAATTTCCCCTGGGGTAAATGGCAGTGGGAAGATGCCCAGTGGCTCCATTAACAAGGATGTAAGGATTGGAGAGTGAATGTTGGGTAGACAAATAATAGTGTCTGAACCATGGTGGGTAAAAGGAAAAATTAGGGGGTTCAAAAATGTATTCATTACAAATAGGGAGAAGTACAGAGAACACAAAGTATATTATTGTATCACCAGAGCTATGTCTGATGAACTTCTCTATCCCTATGTGTTTCTTAGAACTAGAGAAAATATGGGCCCCTCGGTGGCTCAGTCGGTTAAGTGGCCGACTTCGGCTCAGGTCATGATCTCGCGGTCTGTGAGTTCGAGCCCCGCGTCGGGCTCTGTACTGACAGCTCAGAGCCTGGAGCCTGTTTCAGATTCTGCGTCTCCCTCTCTCTGACCCTCCCCCGTTCATGCTCTGTCTCTCTCTGTCTCAAAAATAAATAAACGTTAAAAAAAAATTAAAAAAAAAGAACTAGAGAAAATATATTTTGAATAGCCCTGAACATTCAACAAGAACTTGAAGGTCATGGAAAGACTTAATAGGACAAGGGCAAAACAGGAAATCAAAGAATGATTTAATAATCAAGGTTTAATAATAATGCTTTATTAATCAAGTAATGGTTTAGTAATAATGGCTATAATCATTGAATATTCCCTATGTGTGCAACACTTTTCTATATGCTTAACATACACCATACCATTTAATTCCCAAGACACCTTATTACTACATCTTCACTTTCAGGTGAGGAAATGGAGGTTTTGAAAGTTTAAGGCAACTTATCTCAGACAGTGGAACCAGGATTTGAACCCAGACAGTCTGGCTCCAAAGCCTGCATATCTAATCTCTGAGCTTCCTACACATCAAGTGTCAATCTAGACTTGGACATTTAAACTTTAGAGCAATATTTCTAAGCCAACGCCCACTCCTGGAAAAAAACAAAATGTCTTGCTATCCTCAAAGAGACTGATTTTGATTACTCATCTTCCTGTATAAAATCAATAGGCATCTTCTTTCCTTTTTCATACATGAAATTGACTTGCATTTTCAAACTTTCCTCCTTTCCTGAATTTCTGATATGCTTTCTGGGGGCTGGGGGGAATCCTCTTCTGGGGTGTGAATCACTCTGCTAGTACTGTCTACATACTTACTCAAGTGAGCTAGGTCATTGCTCAACCTTCCACTTTAACTGAATGGCTTGGTCTCAAGGTCAAAGAC